CGCGCGGGCGTGGACGTCTGGTATGAGGGCGTGACGTACTCCAGGCGGCCCGATTGTGGGCAGGACTCAGATGGTCCGTCCTTTTAGCCGCTTGCCGTGAGTGCATGGAGTACCCCGCCTCCGTAACAGACCTAGTGGGACAAAACTATAGAAATTTGTGTGACGAAATGTCCAGGTTTTCCTACGAAATACACTTTTACTTATTGCTCCACCAGACCTTCTCCTAAGGAGGACTTCCAGAAAGGGGAGGCACTGTCTGTTCTCTTTTTCTAAAGTGAAGGTTAACGCTGGCTGCAGCTGATTAACTTTATCTAAGAAAGTGTCCAAATCATGTCTTCCACCTGCTATTACCAATACATCATTGATAAATCTACCATAGGTAATTCGGTCCTTTTAAATACGGGAAAGTTTGTTGCCCTCCAGCTTGCCCATGAAGGCATCAGCTAATAGAGGTCTAAGCGGTGATCCCATCGCTACCCCATCGATTTGGCGGTAAAATTGCCATTAAAGCTGAATTACATGTTCAACGTGCAGCGGAGGAGTAATTTCTTCAGATCTCGGATAGACATGCCGATTTGGAAATCCTGTTTAAGAATCTTGTTGCAAAAATATTCTATGGTTTCTCTGAGAGGAATGTTAATAGAAGGCAATATTTCTTAGTTTTTAGAGTTTCGTAGTAAGAGTATTTCAGAATAGTAAGTTCAGCTCCTTTAACAGCTTGATCGGGATTTCACTGGCACTTGGGAGGTCGATTTTTTCAAGTTAAGTAGCTCGGACCAAATTATTTATTCTGTGAAGGGGACTGTATCAATAAAAAGTACCGCTTCGTCTTCACCAGTGGGAGGAATAAAGTCAGGTTCAGTTGTCACGACGCACCGGCAGAAAACGTTATCTGTATCCTCTGTGGTTGTGGACTATCTCTTTGAATTATTCCCAAGTCTCTTCGACAGTGTCGGAGAATGTGAATGCCCAGTCGATGGAACAAAATCATGTTTCATCAGCTCGAAATCGCCCTACCAAATATTTGGCCGGAGGTGTTGCATTTGTGCAGACAAATAATATAAAGTGTATTCCCACATGGAAACTAAATGGTCACTCTAGCCTAGTGGGGGTAGGACGTTAAAAATGCTTATACTTTCAGGTGACTTGGTGAAAACAAGGTCAAGACCGCTAATTCGCTGACGTTCACAAATTCTTGTGGGAATTGTGACGTGTAGGAAGCAGACAAGTTATTCCATTGTCTCAGGCACTGGTGGCAGTTGGCGCTGCGTGCAGTCACTGTCCGAGCGTCTATGGGCTTGGCTGCATGGGAGCTAGGCCTGGATAGTTGACATTTGTGTAATTTGGTTGCGTATATTTTTCCGTTTATTAGGTGAGGATACTATAACACGCCATTAAAATCCATATTTTTACGCACCGGCATGTCATATGCGTTTGTACACCTACGCTTAAAAATCGTCCCTCGTATTCACAAACTGTGAGTAGCATTGTTTTTGCAAATAACTTTTGTCAGGAGTTTGTTTGGTATTAGTTGGAATTCAGACTACCGAAGGGCAACAGGGGACAAATAATTATCCGACCTTTTCTTAAAGAGTAGCAGAGAATTCGTCTATAGGACTGATTGCCGGCGGTTATTCCATTGCTCTGCTGCTCGTTGCCTAAAGAATTCAGAGTGGCGATAAACCGTAGACATTTTTCGTGCGCATATTCAGTGCGTGTCCACGGAGATGAAGTGAGAGTTGCCACTGAAACACGTCCTCAAACCGCAAGCCTTGCTCAAGGCCCTGCGTTATCTTGTAAAGCAATAAACATGTCTCTCTTTTCTGCCTGTAATACCGAGGGAATAGATTCAGGCATTCTAGTCTTTTTGTGTTGGTGTGGCTTTTTAGCCCTCTTACTAGTTTCGTGGCACGATACTGCACATCCTCGGAACATATTTGGACT